CTTTTCAAAGTGGGTATAAACACCACTTTATGCTGGTTAAAATATTCAGGGCTTTGTTGTGATCTCCAAATTCCTATGAACTGAAGAAAGGTATACCACGGCAAATTCAAATGTTTGAGAATCAAATTTCACCACTTACATGAAGATAAAAGAAAATATGGATCTGTTATAAATCAATATAAAATATTTGCAAATGAATATTCCTACTTATAAGAGGGCTTGGCCTAGTGTATGCCAGTAAAAAAAACTGTGGAACAAATACATTCTTAATTTCTTTTCCTAGGAATGACAGAAACTGTGATATATTCACATAGCTTCTTCCCCTTTATATAGCAGTTTGTGTCTATGACTCAGTGTTCAATTCACAAGGATATAGAAGAGTAGGTAGAGAAAAGAATTCAACTCAGTAGTCCAGTATTTGATTTCATTAAGACATTATCATAGTGGCTGACACAAAACAGTGAATTTGTATAACTTTAAAAAGTTACTATTGTTTAATCACAACACTTCCTTTATCATTTTTCTGCAGGTGAATCATTAGACCAAAAATATTGTTATCATTTTTTCCATTCCTCTAAAAGTTAATATTCTTTTCTGATAATGTAATGCATTATATGGTGAGGGGGAAATGTCAAATGCATTCATTCATCAACAAGAAGGGAAGAGAGTTTTAACAAGCAATAATCATTAATGTGTTGGGTACAGATGTCTAGATTATTTAGGTTAGTTATATGGAATATGCCATTACAAGAAGATAAATATAATGTATTTTATTAGTCTCATAATTGCTTTTTCAATTAAAAGGATGTAAGTTAGGATTTTTTTTTTAAAAAACTATAAGAACACTGTGAGGTGAAAGTATGAAAGAGTAATTTTGTGTAGCTTTGTGTAACACCAAACTTACTATCAGAATTATTTACTCATCAAAAATTCCAACCTATCAGGTCACATTTTTTTATTATTAAATATTTTTATTGTGTAGCCACTACACTTAAGAGACAGTTCAATACTATCTTAAATAAATACCATGAATTTACATAAGGTATTTATTGAATTAAAATACATTTAACTGAATTCCAAGATAATCTCAAACTATACATTTGTTTATACCGCTTATATCTGTTTACCTATTTGAGGGTAACAGATTAGGAATATAAAAATGCAAACTTCCAAAATACCTCACAATAAACTCATATCCTCGTTGGTAAGAGCCTCTTTCAAAGCTTGCAGCGGAAAGAGGTACAATTTGTTCTGCTCTCACCAGTTTCAATGTGTCATAAAAAGTTGTGATATCTTTTTTTTTGGCTGATAATAACAATTGTCCCAGTCTGACACTCCACGATGTAGATTTCCCATCTGAAAAACAAGTGAAGAGTCAAAAAATGCTATAGTCCTAGGTCGAAGAGCCAGTTTTCTAACAGTGGATAAAATGGTCAGCAGAAATACTGAAGAATGGTTTCAGCCTACTTTGAACTAAACAAGATAATTACAAAACAGTCAAAGCAATTAATTATGAATGCTTCTAAGCTACTTAACTCTAAATATTTATGACTAATATATTAAAACCGCTTATATTTCAAGAAGTAATTTTACCTTCTGCCAAATAGTTTTCCACCAAATCCCACTGTGACAATTTCCAAGCTGCTTCCACTCTGTATGTGTTTAATTCATCTGTCCATTCAGACCTATTGAAAGAAATCCATATCGATCAAACTTTATTTAAGTTTACAAAGGCATTTAGAGATACTTCACTGGTTTAGATGCTATATTGTTCATCTTGCTGCGTTTGATTGCATTTTGTACTTAAAATAATCTCTATTCAGAAATAACCCAGAAAAATTTTTAACCTTCATTTTTTATTTATTTGAAAGGTAGAGAGAGAGAGAGAGATAGACAAGAAGATGGAGAATCTCCCATCTGCTGGTTTACTCCCCAAATGCCTACAACAGCCAGGGGCTGAGCCAGGCCAAAGCCAGGACCTCCATCTGAGTCTTTCACCTGGGTAGTAGTGACCAGCTAATCACCTGCTGCCTTCAGGGTGTGCATTAGTAGGAAGCTAGAGAGTAGTCAGGTACTCTAATATGTGGGCATCTCAAGCACTACCACTAGGCAAAATTCCTACCCCAACCTAGAAAATTTTAGCCTTTACATTCTTCAAAAACATTTTGTCACACTATTTCTGGTAGAGACATTTACAAATGCCATTCTTTAGCAAAGTGATTTTGCATATGTTAGAGCAGAACAAATTCTTGGATAATAACACAGCCTGTTACAAAATTAGCTACATGCTTAACTTGAACAAACTGCAAGCAAGAAGAGCCACCAAATGCATATGAATTCAGAGACAAACAATTCTAATAATTTAGGATTTTTAATTAAATTTAAGATACAAATATAGGGGCTGGTGGTATGGATTGGAGAGTTGAGAGTTGCATAGGACATTCAACATAAAGGCATAATAAAATGATGTGTCAATGGCATAGCAAAATATACAAAGCCTACTACTTAACATATACATCCATTCTTAAACTATTGTCAGTTACTTTAAAAAAAGTATGATGGGTCTTGTGCTGTGGCACAGTGGGTTAAGCCACAGCTGCATCTCATAAGGGCACTAGTTCAAGGCCCAGCTGCTCCACTTTTTCTCTGCTAATGTGCCTGGGAAAGCAGAGGAGGATAGCCCAAATGCTTGGACCCTTACATCCATGTGGGAAATCTGGAAGAAGCTTCTAGTTCTTGGCTTCAGCCTAGCCCTGCCCCATTTAGGCCGTTTTGGGAGTGAACCAGCAAATGGAAGATCTCTCTTTCCCTCTCTTTTTAACTCTGGCTTTTAAATCAATCAATCAATCTTGGGGAAAAAAAGAAGGCATGATATAGGCTGATTATTTTTTCTAAGCATTCTATTTAGGTGACATTAGAATGACCAGTGATATTTTAAATGATGACTACAGAGAAGCAGCTAGAGTTTCCTCTTTTTTATTAATCATACCATTTGAATACTTATTATATGCTGGTTCCTGGGGTAGGCATATTTTTTTCCATTTAATGATCTAATATACTACATATAGCACAGAATGAAGCATCTGCCAAAAATTCATGGAAAATACATATTATGGAAAAAATTTAGTATCAAAATAAATTTATTTTTCATTCCATTTTTTCCACAAATTTTTGAAGTCTCTTTGTATATATCATATTATAAAAAAGAAAACAGATTCATAAAGACTACACTCAATATCCTTAAAAGTAGAAACATCAAGAAAATTAAATAAATGACAGTTATATATTTTTAAAAATCTAAAAATAGCAACATAAATATTGAGTATGCTTCAATTTCTAAATATGAAACCATCAAAAACAATTTAGGACAGGCTAAAATACAAACAACAGAAATTTAATTTTCAAAAGTTCAACTTTGAATGACTTTACAACCTTTTACCATCAGACACCAAAATATGAAAATCTCAAGATAAAAATCTGAGTAGAATTGGTAATACAAGTTGAGTATCCCTAATGAGAAATCCAAAATTTGATTTTTGAGCATCAAAAATGATGCTATAAGTGGAACATTCCTGACCCAACCTCATGGGATAGGCCACAATCATAATGTAGATGCACTAGAAATACTGTGTAAAAATACCTTCAGGGTACACCTATAAAGGATGTATGAAACATAAATGAATTTTGTGGTTAGATTTGGTTCACATTCTTAAGATCTCATTATATATGTAAATATTCCAAAATCTGAAAAAAATCTCAATTTTTTCAATGTCTTTTTGTTCTTTTAAGATTTACTTTATTTGAAAGACAGAATTACAGAGGAGAGACAGAGAGAGACATCTTCATCCACTGGTTCACTCCCCAGATGGCCCCAACGGCAAGGCTGGGCTTCTTCCTGGTCTCCCACATAGGTAACACTTGGGCCATCTGCTGCTTTTCCCAGACCATTAACAGGCAACTGGATCAGCTGGGACTTGAACCAGTGCACATACAGGATGCCAGCATCCCAGGCAGTGGCTTTACCAGCTACACCACAACACCGGCCTCCAAAAATCTGAATTCTAAAAACATTTCAGGTCCCAGATATTTTGGACAAGGAATATTTAACCGGTTATTTACTATCCACAGGAGTGTATCATACCAAGTCTTAAACCAAAAAGTACCAAATGACAATAAGGATCAGGGTGGGAGAACTTATCCACATAAATGGAGTACATTAAAAGGAATACTGTGGTGTAATGGGTAGGACCCCTGCCTGCAGTGCTGGCATCCCATACGGGCACCAGTTCATGTCCCGGCTGTTCCACTTCTGATCCAGTCTCTGCTATGGCCTGGGCAAGCAGTGGAGGATGGCCCAAGTACCCACTTGGGAGACCTGGAGGAGGCTCCTGGCTCCTGGCTTCGGATTGGTGTAGCTCTGGCTGTTGCGGCCATCTGGGGAGTGAACCAATGAAAGGAAGACCTTTCTCTCTGTCTCTTTCTCTCACTGTCTGTAACTCTACCACTCAAATAAAAAAAAAACATAAAAAATAGAGAAATATTTGTTTAAATGCAAATAGAGATTCTCCACAATGACCATTTGCTTCACTATAACACAGCATCCCTTCATTGAATATTGACACACACTTTTCACAATCCAAATATCAACAGGCTCTGTGTATCATAGGCCCAAATATGAGACAAGGGGAGTCTAACAGTGCAGTGTATGTCACATGGAAACCTGACACTTCAACATGAGTCGTGACAAATTTTCTCAAATTTATATAATAAAATCTCTCAACTAAAAACCCAAAGAAACACATCTACCACATATAATCACTCCTTCCCTACTTCTACAAAGTTTTCTTCATCATTTCCTCAGTTGAACTACTGTGACGCCATCTGACCAACAGTAACCTTCTCTGCTCATGGACATTATAAAACAGTAGTGTTTATGAATCATTGTTTTTGAGCTTATAGAAACCTTTAGAAGAAGCTGCGTTCAGTGTGGTCTAATAAGGCAGCAGGCTGTGTGTTCTTTGCTTATCCAAGATTCCCATTCTCTTCTTACTAGATCTCTACTACCCAGCATAATCAGCTGGGGTCTGGTGAATAGATTAAGGAAAAAGGCTTTTAGCTGTCACACAAAGCAGATTCAAGAGCAGAGCCAAACTTGACAGTTAATCTCCAAAGTAGAAGGATAATTCGGCCTTAATCATGTGTGCCACACGTCAGTATCATCTTTTGTATAATTTGTTTTGCTATAACAAATTAATTTTCTTTGGGAAAGGAAACTTGCTTTTATAATTATCAATTCTTTGAAGTAAAAATCCACCTACACAGTCTACAGTAGTATTTCATAAATTAGTCACAAAGTTTTCTCTTCTTCCACCATCACAGAAAATGACTGGTGCTAATCCTATAGGCAGAGCTTGGATTGGATGCCCAGCAGGTGAGCTCTGGAAGATTCCTATCTTAAAGCAAATGTAATTCAAAGATTACTTGTTAGACATAAAATAAGCTGTTAGAGGTAGATAAGCTTATTAAAGAAAAAAAATTTTTTACTGCTTCATTCCAACATCATGAAAACAGTTCATTACTTTAGTAAACATAGTTATCCATTTTATTAAAAATTTTTCTTATCAGATAGAATATGAAATAAAATCAGTCTTATGAAAAATATTACCTGTTAGCATGCACTCCATTCACCTGAGTGATTACAGTAGACAGCTGACCAAGACCTAACATAGACTTCACTACACCATGATAATGAACGATCTAAAAATTTAAAATAACAATTATCACTTCAAATATATGCTGGCAACCACAAACAGTTTAACTGATACTCATCAAAAAATACTTCACTATGCCTACTTTTCATTAACAAGTGACTTTCTTGACTACATGTCAGGACCCCCATCAATGTCCTAACACATTTAAAGTAACAGAAAAAACACAGACAGCCTAGAAAATCTCAGGTTGAACTTCATGTATTTTTCCAGAGTTGGTCTAATTTTTGGTTCAAATTAAATATAAAGTTAGTGAATATAACAATTACTGAATATAACAATCTAATAAAATTTAATATGTTTAAAGATTATATGTCATATTTCTCACATAAACATTAACATTCAAAGGTCATAATATTACTAGACTTGAGGCTTTAACTAACTAAAAAGATTATGTGATATTTTAAAAAATTGAACAAAAAATTGCAAAAAATAACATTGTAAGTATGACAAAAAGCAATATTCCAAGAGAATCTAATGTAAAATAACAAATTAGTCATTCTAAACCCCTTTCCTAGCTCAACAATATACTCTCATTAGTCATTACAGCAGCTCAGTGATTCCAAGGGATTACCACAGAGATCTACAGGTGGGTGAGTGTGAAATGCAAAAGTGTGTGTGAGATATGAAAAAATTTCTCACACTGCAGATAATCACTATTACTAAAAAATTGATGCATAGCTTATATTTTTAATAACAAATTAAATAACGTAAATTTTGGAGTTATCAAAATGCATATCCTAATATAAATACACACCAAAATCTCATTCATTTGAGGGACTTCTAAGGTCACAGAAATTTGGCATTGGAAAAAACTTTTTTTTTTAATTATTTATTTATTTGACAGGTAGAGTGGACAGTGAGAGAGAGAGACAGAGAGAAAGGTCTTCCTTTTGCCATTGGTTCACCCTCCAATGGCCGCCGCGGCTGGCGCGCTGCAGCCGGCGCACCGCACTGATCCGATGGCAGGAGCCAGGTACTTCTCCTGGTCTCCCATGGGGTGCAAGGCCCAAGCACTTGGGCCATCCTCCACTGCACTCCCTGGCCACAGCAGAGAGCTGGCCTGGAAGAGGGGCAACCGGGACAGAATCCGGTGCCCCGACCAGGACTAGAACCCGGTGTGCCGGTGCCGCAAGGCGGAGGATTAGCCTAGTGAGCTGCGGCGCCGGCGGAAAAAACTTTTAAGATTATCCAGCACATGTCTTAATTTTTCAGTCAGTAAACTCAAGCACAGAGACAATCAAACATTTTCTGGACACACTGTGATACTGATAAAGACAGTACTGAAACGAAGGTTTTCAGAGTCCTATTCAAGGCTCTTTTCATTACATTGTTCTCTGATTACTGCTTTACCTGGTCTGGTTCTAGCTGAATAGCCCTGTCATAGCAAGCAGTAGCATCCCTCAGCAAGCCAAGGCTTTCATGTTCAAGGATTTGCTCTTTTAGAGATGGCTCTGCCTTTCGAATTGCGCTGACTCCAGCCACTCCATCTGGCTCATCCATAGCAGCATACAATTTCTTTGCTCAACAATTAAAAAAAAATCATATCAGGGAAAAAAAACACAATTAGAAACAAAAACTATAAAACAACAAGTCAATGAACCACAGACTCAAATTAGGATTGGGAAACATCTATTTGATTTGGTAACATGGAGGCTACTGATTTTCTCAACAAAAGTTGCACCAAAAGAAAAAAAGACAGAAAAATCTTGTAAAAATGAGTTAACAGTGAATGGGAAGCAATGTAGAGAATATAGGGAAGACAGACAATTCTTTCAAAACTGGCTTTGAAGAGAAGCAGTGAGATGGGAAGTACCTAAAGCATAATGTAAAAGCAAGGAAACTGGAAAAAACTCAGATAAGAAATTTAGAGCAAATCTAAATGCACTACATACTCTGGTTCAGGAAAATAAATTAATGATAGTAGGCAAAGAGGGACTATTTGAAGGACTGAAATTGAGAACCCAAGCAGAAGGACTGAATTTTGACTGGACGGATTCCTTCATTAGAAATAACAGAAGAATTGGGTGTAGATGCCATGTATTTGCAGATGTGGTAGACATTTAGCTTCTATTTTCCTAATGAAAGAGGAAGTGAGATCATTTGAGACTGATGTAGAAACAGGGGAATGAAAGTAAACTGTCATCCTGAAGAGTGGAAAAGTAGGCTTTCTAGAGAAAGAAGAGCTGAATGCAGTGCTAAAATTTCCTGTAGCATTAAAGATGTCTGAGATTATGCACTTAAATTAACAGCAACATAAACTCCACTGTGTAATTTTTCTAAAGCAACGTTCAGTTTTTCCTATACAGACACTGGGAAGGCAGAAGGCTAACTTTATCCAGGTTTGGAATTTTATAAAAATTAGTCTAACTCAATGGGTAAAGGACAAGGGAGCTGAGCATTTTTGTAAGGGAAAGATTTTAACCATGAACCACAGATGCAAATCTAGACAAGAAGGAACACAAAGACAGGAAAAGGCAAATAGTCATCCTGAGACACCAAGCTACTAATTTTCCCGTTCTTTTACCACACTTTGTTTTTTTGATCTGCAAAGCCCATAAGTTTTGGTCCTCTCTTTAATCTCAGTGTATTAGCCCCATGTGAGCTTACTTTCTTTTCTGCTTAACACAGTCACAATATCATCACTTCCAGTTCTGGGGAACATCCAGCTTGTGGGCTACATAAAGCCAACAGAAGTATTTGGTATGATCCTGCCAACGCAAGTGCAGGTGAGACTGGAAATTCAATCAATCTATAGCAGGCTAATTTTTATGGCCCATGAATGACGTTATAAATACCCAAATGGCTGTTAGCAGAAAAGGGTTCCCCACCCCAGAATTTCACCAGCACTCTAAAGCCTAATATATAATATTAGGTTATATAACATATTAGGTTATATAATATATAACCAGTGTATCTCCCTACTTATCCAGTCCAAAATTCAGGCCCACGCTTCTCACGAGGAAAAGAGTAATGCCTTGAATCATAGCCTTTTCAAGTTCTTCCTCCATAACTGCCACAGGCTTTTAGCTGAAATGCACTGGGACTTCTGCAGTTCACATCTCCTAACGACAACTTGAAAGCTCTTCTAAGATTTGTAATTTTCCTTGTAATCTTTCCTCTACAACCGAAAAAAACTGACAATTTACTCTTAGTATATACCATACTCCTTCCTGACTCAATTAAGATGCCTCTGTTTAAAATGTCTTTCCTGGGGCCGGCAGTGTGGAATAGTGGATTAAGCCATCAGCTGCAGCACTAGCATCCCATATGGGCACCGGTTCGAGTCCCAGCTGCTCTACTTCCAATCCAGCTCCCTGGTGTGCCTGGGAAAGCAGCAGAGGATGGTCCAAGTCCTTGGATTCCTGCACCCATGTGGGAGAACGGATGAAGCTGTTGGCTTCGGCCTAACCTAGCCCTTGCCATTGCAAATGATTGGGGAGTGAACCAGTGGATGGAAGATCTCTCTCCTTCTTACCCTATCTCTGTAATTCTGACTTTCAAATAAATAAATAAATCTTTAAAAAATATTTTTTTTTAAATTAAATGTCTTTTCTTTGTAACTATCATACATATTTAAGATATCATCTCCTAGAAACCTCTCTTGATCCCTGGCTCACCTACATCATTTCCCACCCCACCCCACCCCACCCCACACAGAGGGTGAGTTAACTGTCCTTTAGGACATATCTCTCTGTAACTTTACCTTTTCTTTTCTTTCTTTCTTTTTTTTTTTTTGACAGGCAGAGTGGACAGTGAGAGAGAGAGAGACAGAGAGAAAGTTCTTCCTTTGCCGTTGGTTCACCCTCCAATGGCCGCCGCGGCCGGCGCTCTGCGGCTGGAGCACTGCGCTGATCCGATGGCAGGAGCCAGGTACTTATCCTGGTCTCCCATGGGGTGCAGGGCCCAAGGACTTGGGCCATCCTCCACTGCACTCCCTGGCCACAGCAGAGAGCTGGCCTGGAAGAGAGGCAACCGGGACAGAATCTGGTGCCCCGACAGGGACTAGAACCTGGTGTGCCGGCGCCGCAAGGCAGAGGATTAGCCTAGTGAGCCACGGTGCCGGCTCATATCTATATTTTTATACCTAAGATACTGTATGAATTACATGTTTCTCTCTCCACTAATGTATAAGCTTCTAAAGTACTTGTAATCGCTTCTCGGCCCTTTGGCTAAGATCAAGTGTGTAAAGTACTTGCAAATATCTAGTGTCTAGCATAGCATCAAAAACACTCAGTAAAATGAACAACATAATAATAAAGGACTGGTAATACTAATTTTCATTACCACATTCACTATATTAATATCAGACCTGTAAAAATCCAAGGTGCTCTTGAATATTTTGCTTCTTTTCTGTAATAAACGATTCAAAGTGCATAACGGCTCTTGTGTATGCTTTGGAGCGAAACGATGCTACTGCCAGAGTATCTTGAGGTATGAGGTCTAGAAAGCGAGTAACACTTCGATAGTCTTCATAACCCACAGGAATTCCGAGATTATAAAAAAGAAAAAGACTAATTAAAGACTTATAAGATGAAACTTTAAAAGAATAAACTGAAGTATTTAAGTTCAATTTAGTTCACTATATAAATTAATTCTAAATGTATTAGGGGATCATATTTAGTATATAATTAGCAATAGGATAATTGCTCAGATGGGTCTG